GTTAAAGAGAGCATCCTACCAGTCAGGGAGCAATTGCGTTGCATCTTTGGACACTTCTTTGAAATTTGTAGTTCCCCATAAGAATAAAGTCCCCAGTCTGCCTGGAAATTCCCCATTTTCTGAATGCCAGATAAACCCAGCCCAGCGAATGGTGCTTTCTGTGTGTGTGGCAAATGAAAAGCTCAGAACAAATTCAGTTTCAAAGGTTGTTAGGATATGGTTGGTAGACATAGTAATAGGGGTGACAGTGTAGTGAAATGATGCACAGAGCAGTCCTTTGAAGGAATTGTCTATTTTTACAGATGGCAGAAAGCAGGCCCAGAGATGATAAGAACTGTGGAGGCACGTCCAGTGTTCCTGGGGAAAAGAAGAATGAACTTTTCTTTAACCTCCATGCATGACACCTCATCTTTACAAATGCAGATGGCAGAGGTATGTCTTCATTCTGACCCAGAGGATGGAGGTAGCCCTTTGTGCTTCTTTGCAGTGGGGAGTGAGACACGTGTTAAAGACACTTGTTTGCTGACTTGGGCAACTTTACTCTTGTCATTAGAGGAGCCAAGAAAAAAAACCACAGGGCTGCTCTGCAGTGAGGAGAGTGCGAGTTGCTAGAGCCTCTGGTGTACAAAGGCAATTAAGGAAACTAAGGTACCTGCGTTGAATCTATGCATGTATAATGCTTTTTACTGCCAAATATACAATGAGAGATAGCCTAAGAGTGTAAACTGAGAGTTGTGGACCTAAAACTTCCTTGAAAATGCTGGCTCAGGTTATTCACCTACTTTTTTTGTGATAATTACTTATACTATGTACCTTTACCATATGCTATATATATAACTAAGAAAAAAGCAACTGTTCCTGTTAAGAAGATACATATTACAAGCATAATCGCGGGGAGGAGAAGCCACGCTGGCTGCAGCAGGGAGAGGCAGGCAGAGACACAGGTGTTCATTCTGCTAGAGCAGGGACACTGGATCTAGTCTCATCCAGAGGGCAAACAAGATTTTGTTTGTGGTCTTAGATGAGGAAGGATTGATGGGTGCTTGGCAGAAGTCATAATTCCCTTGGTTCGGGAGGGTCAGGAGGACTCTGACGCCCAATTGAAATGAATAGGCCCAAGCCTTTCTTTTAGTCCAGAGGTAAAAATGCAGATAGTTTGTCTGGCTTGGTTTGGGTTAGAAGATACCTTAAAGATCATCGTGTTCCAACCCCCCTGCCCTGGGCAGGGACACCTCCCACCAGACCAGGTTGCTCCAAGCCCCATCCAGCCTGGCCTTGAACTCCTCCAGGGATGGGGCAGCCACAGCTTCTCTGGGCAACCTGTTCCAGGGCCTCACCACCCTCACAGGAAATAATTTCTTCCAAAACCAAACTTCTGGTCCCAAGAAGTGTGTCCATTTGCACATGCTGTGGAAGACACTAGCTGTATCTTGCGTCTATCCTGCGACGTCAGGTAGGCAGACCAGGTTGCTCCAAGCCCCATCCAGCCTGGCCTTGAACCCCTCCAGGGATGGGGCAGCCACAGCTTCTCTGGGCAACCTGGGCCAGTGTCTCACCACCCTCACAGCAAAGAATTTCTTCCAAAACCAAGTTTCTGGTCCCAAGAAGTGTGTCCATTTGCACATGCTGTGGAAGACACTAGCTGTATCTTGCATCTATCCTACAATGTCAGGTATGAGCTCTCTGAGGGCCCTGGCCCACTGTAATGAAGCAGGCCTAGGTCCTTCAAACAGTACATAAACTGGCACAGAGAGCATGCTTTATCAAGTTTTTCAGATATTTTAGCAAAATATCTGTTTTTTACTGTAGATGCCAGCACAGAACAGAAACACACTAAATGGACTTTGTGTGGTTTATTAGTGATTATTTGACCTCTATAGCTCCACCTATTATAAGAGTAGCTTATTTGAAAATAATTAACTACACATTAGTTAAAGTATACACATATACCTACCACGTAGCATAAAACACTACTGTCTCTGTGCATTCACAGCAAGGCCATGGACAGAATATTTTTTTGCTTCTAATCTTTACCATACATGTCAGAGTGCTTCTTTTTTGGAGTCCTATCTGATTAACAATAAACACAGCTCTTGAAATCCTAGAGTCTGGACAGTTTGTCCTATAGCTATTAAATACTGGTTGCTTAGTATTTTCAGATCCTGGACTTGAAACCACTGAAAGGAAAGCAAAAGGATTCTGTTAGATTTCTTACATACAAGCCTTGTAAAAGCAAATGGGCTCCAGGGTTGCTACTACCAAAGAATCCCTGGTCACCAAAATCTGCTTCATTTACAATTAGTCAGATTAAAAGACAACTTCCTGCTTCTCTCTGTATCAGAAGCTTTTAAATTATTATTATTATTGTTCATTTATTATTATAAAAGTATTACATTATTATTATTACTACTTCTTCTGAATTACATTTATTTCAGTGTTTTGGATCACACAATAACTGAATTTGAGGGGACAAGTGTCATGTCCTAAGGGAAGTGTCACCGTACTGGAGATCTAGAGCCATCGACCACCAATTTCCTCTAGCTTTTCAAGAACATAATTATTTTTCCAGCTTTAATTGACTTTGGTGGAGTCTGGAGAGATAATGTCTTGGGGAACACGTTCTTATTTCAGCCTTTAGCAGAAAGTTATACAGCACTGCACGTGGCAATTAATTTGTAGGAATTAAGATGTCCAGATTAGACTGTTCAGAGACACAGACTATTTCAGAATATGCAGGTACTAGGTGGATACTTTGCTTGCTCATAAATATAAGTCAAAGAGTTAAATGTAGAGATTTCCAAAAAGAAAATGTCCCTAATTTCATTGTAAAAATGCTCACGTTAACGTTACTGAAGATTAATAAATAGTAGATGAGGGGAAAATAAATTGTTTAGGGAATCAGTGTAGGTGATGACAGGTTCCGAGTTGTGAACATAACTCTACTGAACAGTGGCAAGTTAATACGCACATTTGTAAAACACATGAATTGGCTGAACACAAATGTCTCTAGGCATTTTGACGTGTTGTGCTCTGATTCAAGTCTGGAACACGTCTGAGAGTGAGTTCTTTGATGAACCTGTCAAAGATCCTTCTCCTGACAGCCACTCCTGTTCATTTTGTGGCTCTGATGTACCTCTGCTTCTCTGCTCACACCGTGTTCTTGGAGCGCGGGGAGGAGAAGCCACGCTGGCTGCAGCAGGGAGAGGCAGGCAGAGACACAGGTGTTCATTCTGCTAGAGCAGGGACACTGGATCTAGTCTCATCCAGAGGGCAAACAAGATTTTTTGTGGTCTTAGATGAGGAAGGATTGATGGGTGCTTGGCAGAAGTCATAATTCCCTTGGTTCGGGAGGGTCAGGAGGACTCTGACGCCCAATTGAAATGAATAGGCCCAAGCCTTTCTTTTAGTCCAGAGGTAAAAATGCAGATAGTTTGTCTGGCTTGGTTTGGGTTAGAAGATACCTTAAAGATCATCCAGTTCCAACCCCCTGCCCTGGGCAGGGACACCTCCCACCAGACCAGGTTGCTCCAAGCCCCATCCAGCCTGGCCTTGAACCCCTCCAGGGATGGGGCAGCCACAGCTTCTCTGGGCAACCTGGGCCAGTGTCTCACCACCCTCACAGCAAAGAATTTCTTCCAAAACCAAGTTTCTGGTCCCAAGAAGTGTGTCCATTTGCACATGCTGTGGAAGACACTAGCTGTATCTTGCATCTATCCTACAATGTCAGGTATGAGCTCTCTGAGGGCCCTGGCCCACTGTAATGAAGCAGGCCTAGGTCCTTCAAACAGTACATAAACTGGCACAGAGAGCATGCTTTATCAAGTTTTTCAGATATTTTAGCAAAATATCTGTTTTTTACTGTAGATGCCAGCACAGAACAGAAACACACTAAATGGACTTTGTGTGGTTTATTAGTGATTATTTGACCTCTTTCTCTTAGGTCCTGAATTCTGAAATACGATGGAAAACAGCATTATTACCTCTTTCTACTTAATAAATTCCTCTCAACAATTTCAATTCATTCATTTTTTTCTCTAACCAGTCCCTCAGTCATCTGGAGGTAAAAGAAATGACACAGCCCATCACACTCCCGAGAACTAGAGAGGCTGAGTGCCATCATGACCTTACTTTGGAAACTCCCCATCCTCTGCACCCAAGAGCTGGTGATCCGCAGACTGTGCCAAAATAAGTCCTCCCATGCTTCCTCTTCCTTCCATAGGAACAACCGCTTTGCTCTTGACTCTAATTACTATGGGGCTGGCTGCTGAAAGCTCGACCCGGTCAGGTAGTTTCAGTTCCTTTAATAAACAGTGTGGTGGAGGATGTTGGGTGTAACAGGGGGAAGAACCTTTTAGTCATAGTCTGCATTGCTGAGGGCTTTGGAGGCATATCCAGAGGTAGTTTTGAACTCGCATCTCTAGATTTAAACTGTGAGTAAGCTGTACAGCAAAGGCACCCCAGATAGTGATTTAGCGTAAGAAAATCGCATATTGGATTGGTTTTCCCTTTTCAAAAGAGCTACACACCACCGTGGAAAGCTTGGGACAATAGTAAGAATCCCTTAAGCAATGATCTCACAGCTCTGTGTGCTCTGTTGTGGGGTCTGGCGTTTCTCCAGGATTTCCCAGATGGAAATTTTTTTTCCTTAGTGGAAAGAAAAAACTGTATAAGATGTTACACTAAAAATGGATGTATTTTTTGTTAAAGAGAGCATCCTACCAGTCAGGGAGCAATTGCGTTGCATCTTTGGACACTTCTTTGAAATTTGTAGTTCCCCATAAGAATAAAGTCCCCAGTCTGCCTGGAAATTCCCCATTTTCTGAATGCCAGACAAACCCAGCCCAGCGAATGGTGCTTTCTGTGTGTGTGGCAAATGAAAAGCTCAGAACAAATTCAGTTTCAAAGGTTGTTAGGATATGGTTGGTAGACATAGTAATAGGGGTGACAGTGTAGTGAAATGATGCACAGAGCAGTCCTTTGAAGGAATTGTCTATTTTTACAGATGGCAGAAAGCAGGCCCAGAGATGATAAGAACTGTGGAGGCACGTCCAGTGTTCCTGGGGAAAAGAAGAATGAACTTTTCTTTAACCTCCATGCATGACACCTCATCTTTACAAATGCAGATGGCAGAGGTATGTCTTCGTTCTGACCCACAGGATGGAGGTAGCCCCTTGTGCTTCTTTGCAGTGGGGAGTGAGACACGTGTTAAAGACACTTGTTTGCTGACTTGGGCAACTTTACTCTTGTCATTAGAGGAGCCAAGAAAAAAAACCACAGGGCTGCTCTGCAGTGAGGAGAGTGCGAGTTGCTAGAGCCTCTGGTGTACAAAGGCAATTAAGGAAACTAAGGTACCTGCGTTGAATCTATGCATGTATAATGCTTTTTACTGCCAAATATACAATGAGAGATAGAGTGAGGAGAGTGCGAGTTGCTAGAGCCTCTTAATTGAAATTTCCTTTCAATTAAGGAAACTAAGGTACCTGCATTAAATCTACGCATGTATAATGCTTTTTTCTGCCAAATATACAATGAGAGATAACCTAAGAGTGTAAACTGAGAGTTGTGGACCTAAAACTTCCTTGAAAATGCTGGCTCAGGTTATTCACCTACTTTTTTTGTGATAATTACTTATACTATGTACCTTTACCATATGCTATATATATAACTAAGAAAAAAGCAACTGTTCCTGTTAAGAAGATACATATTACAAGCATAAAGTGCATAGGTGCACATGGAGGAAGCACAGCACCCGAACCGAGTGCTGTGGTAGCTCTTCACACTCGCCCCAGCTTGACATCTCCCCATCCCTCTGTCACACACTCAATTCTTTCAGAGTCCGAAGGGCCTGAGATTCCTTGTTTGCTGTTCGGGCTGATCTCCACCTCCTCTGACACTCTCCACAAAGCTCTTAAGCTTCAGAGAAAGCAGAGTGTGGGTTTTGTATCAAGGACAGCCTAAAGTAGTGTTCTCGCACCTCAGCAGCTGGAGGTACATGCAAAACCGTTTCATCCTTTTTACTTTTGCCTTCTCATTGTGGGGGTGCTGTGAGTCTTGCTGACAGCTATGTCAGCCATTTGGGCACACGATCAACTGCAGCGTGGACACCTCTTAGCCCAGCGTACGAGAAATGACCAGTGTCCATTACCAAAAATGTCACCGATCTAAAACCTGTTCCGGTCAGTCAGTATTTTTCCATTGACTTTGCTGTACTTTGGAACAGGCTTACGGAGGAGAGTTCTTTTGTCTTAGGCAGCACTATTGGATTGTTCCTTTAGAATCGCTTTATAAAAACCTCTGCAGCCTATATAAATGCAGGGAGTAAATGTGGATACTTTCTGAAGTGCTAAAAGGAAGAAGCAGGCTTATGGGTTAACTGCGGGTACTCATAAATGACCAGAAGAAGCAAGTGTTGCACAAAAATATATTCAGATCTGCCACCTCCACATACTTACTCAATAAAGACTAATCAGTAGATTCTGTATGTTAACACTAATGTTTTGTGTCCATATAGAACTTAACCTACATACCTTTATTATAAAACAGACAGAGAGATTTCAAGGTCTCTGCTGAAGACATCTCTGCCCCACGCTCCCCCACCCATATACTTCAATGTTATCGCTAAAGCTGTTGTACTTTGGGCTTGATTTTGTCATGTGTCCCATGATTTCTTGAACTGAGATCCTACTCGTGCATGATTACCATGCAGATCAAATCAGTGTTTGAATTATACATGGGACTCCTAATCTAAGCTTTGTCAATATTTCTATAACTTTGTTTATTTTTTATTTGCCGTGAATTTATGCCCACATGAACTAAAAGACACTTTTCTATATCCTCCCTCCATCACAAACCCACACATTTGAAAAATTAAGCACATACACATGGAGTACTCAGGTGGTCAGCAAATTTTAGGTACTTTAAATGGTCCCAGGATCATATTGGTCATGCTGAAAGTGTAAATAACCTTGTCAGACTAAGCCTTTGAAATACCAAATTTTATGCCTTTCCTGTGGAACAAAATCATAAACAGACATGAAACAATCAAACTGACGAACAATAGACTAACATCCTAAAGTTTAAAGAATTATTATCAATTTATTAAGATCTTTCCAAAACCTGATTTACAAATGGTGGTAAAGGTAACACAAATGTTTGCTTTTAAAAAAAAACCCTCATATTGACCACAATTAAAATTAACATACTGGAAAATATGCAAAGATTAATTTTCTGCCAGATACCTCTCTGCTCCATTAAATATTGCTTTGAGCATTGCATTATAACTTACCGTGTTACGCTGATAGCAGTAGGGTGATTTTATTACCTTAATAACACAACTGCAGTTAGCTTACACCACGCTGTTTAGTTCATATGAGGAAGAAAAATATTAATTTGTTTTAAATAAGGGACTGTTATTAAAAAGGCACTAACTGCATCCACGGAGACACAGAGGAGAGCTGCTCAATGCTAAATGAAAGAGTGAAGGCTAAATGAAAAATGTTCTGGGATGCCTCTTTTCATTTAGATAAGACTAATACTCTGTTTTACTTGGCTACCAACTGCTATAAGAGCTCAGGAAGTGCTGGGAATGTTCTGGCTGAATTTGGGGAACACTGGGGAGGTGGGTGAAGGACAAGAAGCAGAGAGGAGAGGGAAGTGGGATGGGGAGCTGTGGGGAGAGAGCCTCGGAGGAGACAGGGGGATGTGAGCAGCCAGAAAGGCTGCAGGAAGCCTGTGTGTGTCGCTTTTAATAAAGAGCCAGTTCAGTTTTAGTGCCCTGGGATTTCCTCAATGTACAGCCCAACAGGCAGCCCACGAAACACACAAGGTCTATTCTGTAAGGGTTTAAAACATCAAGCTTTATAAACATCGAAGTGCAGCTTTTCCTCCTCAGAGGCCTCTTCTCAGTTGGAAAAAATAAAACAAGGAGGCGCCTGTCATGCAAGTTGTACTAAAATTATATTTAGCACAATAAACTTGTCTGTATTAGGAGGTTCCCCAGCTGACTCTTTACCTGTCACCTTTTACTTTGTAAAGAGAAACCCTTTATTTTCACTTGCTTCCTACATAGTTGAAGAAGGCAGTAGCTAAGTGGTGGTGATATTCCTTGGATGTTCATCTCAAGAGATGGAGAAGAAAACAGCAATCACCTGGCAGCCAGTGGAAAGTCAGAACACAGAGGCATAAACAGACGCGTTCCTGTACGTGTTTTCCTGAGGATAATTGCTCGTGTTGATGGTTATGTACCTTTGAAGATAAATAACAAGCAGTGTTACTACTGAAAATAACTAGAAACAGAGAAAGTCCAAGGACACCAGAGGGATTTTTCTTTTCCCAACAGAGGAAATTTTCTGGCCTTGTGGAAAAGGCAAGGGAAGAAAGGGAATGTAATGGCCTGGTGGATTTCAGAATAATGTCTCAATACACACCCTTCTCTCTGATTAAGTCTCTGAGAGCTGGCTGGGATGCCCTGTGTGAAACGTGACCCCAAGACCCCAGAGGCTGTGTAAGCACATCATGCTGGCTGCCTTGCGCTAGGTGAGGAAAAAGTTTATCTCAAATCCCACAAGAGTTGGACAAAGTGACTTAAGTGACTTCCAGATCTGTAATTTCAAGCCCACAGTCCCTGTGCATAGTGCTGTGTTGACGTGTTTCTGTGTCATAGAAGAAAAAAGAGCACAAAATTTATCAAATTTATTTATTGACTTTATTGATCTGGGTTTTTTGGGGGGTGAGGTGGTGGGTTTTTGTGGGGTTTTTTCTAGCACCACACAGGTTATCACAGTTTCACAACATTGTAGGACCTGTAAGAGTGGGCATCCTCCAGTCTTTTGTGGTGCTGTTCAAGATTTTATTTTCAAAAGTAGAAATTAGAGAAATGTACTCCTAGAAGTCATATATCTATAAAGCAAGGAAGGGAGAATGGTTGGGCTAGAGATAACATTTATGTTTTGTTTCTAGACAGATCTAGTCAAAAAGGCTCAGGAACTTGGAAACATGGGACAGGAGAGTGCCAGAGACCTCAGAGCATTGCACCAGGTGCAATCCCTGCACCAGGATGGTGGGATGGGATTTCCATTAGCAGGATAAGCTGGAGACCTGGGAAAAAAGAGGTACCTAAACTACTGATTTGAGTGAGAAGCTAAAGGGTGCTTTGTAGCTGTTCAACTGTTTTATTCTGGAAGGAGTGAAGACTGTACTTCTGTTTGGGAGCACAAGTATGTACAGTATTATTGACATGAAAGAAACGAGGGCATGATAAATATTGGAGACATTAGCTCTTTATTTTACAGCCAGAGGATTCATTTATTCTGGGAACTATGCCTAATGCTAGCTAGGATTGAGGGTGTATAAATGATCTGTGTACTTCACTATCTCACATCAATGATGCGTTTTACCTCACGCTTTATTTTATCTGGTATCTGCCCTTTGTCAGTGGCCAAAAAAATTAGAAGGGTAGTCAGGAGAACAGGCTCTGCAAAGATAATACACTTGTGTCCCTAAGGACATGCCTTCTCTAGAATAATGGGCTTCTTAAAACAAGTCATTAAGAAAAAGTATTGATTCCCATAGGATTACTTATTTCCTTGGGGTCTATGGCTGAGGGACTTGCACGATTTGCTAATCAGACTTGAGTTGATATGAAGTGTGGGTTCTTCAGACTTTCTCATGAAAAAATTTGTTCCTGACCAGTGGCAAACAACCTAAAAGAAGTATTGCTCCATGTGTTTCCTTGTCACTTAGATTTATGAAATCGATTTTGAAATGAATGTTAAATTGACAGTACAACTTTTAATGTCAAGGCACCACCATGCTTTTTAGTGCCAATCAGAAAACATAGAGAGGTTGGGTCCTTTTCCCGTAAGTATGTCTCAGACTTGAAACAGGAATCAGTACCAAGCTTTGATTTAAAATAGATCTTTCTGTAGACCTCTTGAGCAACTTTAAGACCCCATCTTGAACATGTGCTACCAAAAGATAACTGTTTCAGAAGCTGCCTCCAGCAGATCTGCAGATCTCAGCAGCTTTTTAGTCAATTAGTATACTTTCAGTATTTCAGAGAAAAGGAAGAAATTAATTTTAGAACTCTGGAGACCCTTATGTAGAAACAAATTTATGGATGTCTCTGTTTTCCTTCAGGCAGCTTTGCATTTAGGTCTGCTAAACTCAATGGGCAGACCCCCAGTAAATGTCAGTGATCTTAGAAACTACTCAGTTAATTTGGGAAGGCTGATCAAGGAAACCTTCTTGTCCTCTTCAAACTGAAGCAATGCTGAAAGTATTAATTTTAAAATGCTGTGACAGGACTCTTGTTAGTGATCCTAGTGTTTTGTGCCAGTATCATTGAACTTGGCTGATACATAAAAGCTGACACAGTAACAAAATTAATAATTCTCAAATGTGTTCTTCTTGGAGAGTTTGAAGCCACTTCAGCCTTTCATTAGTTGAAGTATAACAATATACTTGTGCTTTAAGAAAACAAGTGGGAGCCAAAAATCCTCTTCTATATGAGCTTGGTAAGAACTGGATGTTTTGAACAATCTAGAAAGTGCTGATTTTCCCAGGCTAGTGTATCAAATTCAAGAAACCTTCAAACAGATTTTTTCCAAAAGGTCGGAAAACAGAAAGTCTTCCCCTTCTTTCCTACATTTCCCTCCCCTTTTTTTCTGTTTCAGATATTTGAGTGATTTAGGTCAGTGTTTAGGGTCAGAGAATTAAAAACTGAAAAAAATGTTAGAACGTGTTTCAAATTTTATGTGAAGGTCAATGAATGTTATGAAAAAAATAGTGTCAATCCATGGTTTCCAAATCCAGAATAAAGTCATATGTGAGATTTGATGAAAAATGTAATTTTAAGGACTTAGCTCAATACGTGCAGATATCTATTAATGAGGAGCTACTCTGTATTTAAAAAGCAGCCGTACCACTACTGTGATATGTGTTATTCTGAAAAGGAAAAGAAGCTTAAAACTTATTTTTACTCATAGTTAAATTAATGTTGCAACTGTTTTGCCTGGAATAGAGAATCTCACCTACTCCATGGATGTCTACCACTGAAATCAGCTCCAATGAATGAGTTTATTCCTTTTCTGAGAATTCAGAAGAGCTACTTGCTAAACGGGGTAGGAGATGCCCATACTTGGAGTACTCTGCTTTTCACACAAGCTCCCTTTAAACACAACAAGTCATTGACATATTATATTCATTCAAGAGAGAAAGCTGCCTGAGAATAACTTTACTTCAAAGTAAGTAGAATCTTGGCAAAACTGTCTTTTCCTCAGGATCTTAGTTTAGTGTCTTACAAAGATTGTTCCTTTTTGTATTGAATTTAGTAACCCTACGAGATTAATCAGCATCAAGGAATTAATGAAGGAAACATTTACCACTTGAAGAATGCAATGAAATAAATGAAACCGAAATCCTACCTCGGTTTAGATAACTACCAGCAGTTTTGCTTTTTATCACTTTTCTACAGATTTAATTGTTCTCCCTTCCCCTTTTTTGAGCACGTCTAGAAGAGCCACTGGTTTGTGCAGATGGGGAAGGCTGGTTTCCCTGGCTCCTCTCCACTTCCCTCTTGCCATATCCAGTCCTTGAAGCACTCCTTCCACAGATCTAAGGATATCTTGTTGGAGAGTTGATCTATGAGATTAATGTATGTTGCATATCTAATTAATGGGTCCAAAAGATGATTGTGCTTTCTTCACATTGTTGGTCATTTCTTGTGTTTGAGTTCTTTTCCTCAGTTTTACTTAGATGCCAGATTATTGCACTAATGGCAAACAGGAATGTGGCAATTGTCTTGTTCCTCTTTTCCAAGTATTCAAAAATAACTTAAACCATCATCAAAACCTGTATGCTGCAACAAACAAATAAAAAACTTCAATTCTCACTTCTTAAGACTCAAAAGATCATTCTGAAATTATAGGCAGACCAAAATTATAGTTTTTTCACATTCAAAATGGATAAACACCACTCTTTGACACTTATAGAATGTCAGTCAGGCTATGCAGACGAATTCTGTAACTGTCTCCTACATCGCCCTTTTAAGCTATGTGTTTGAACTCTACACAAGAAAGAAATAAATCGGGGTTTAATGTAATGTAAAGTGATGCTGCTTCATCTTTTGCAATGGAAAAGAAGTCACAGATCTGACACATGGCCACTTCCACTTACGCAAAACAAATGGTTGAGCTGGAGCAATCAGCTGATAGGGCTGTTGCGTTATGACAGTGTGTAACCGTTAGCACACCACGTGAGTGACACCAGTGGAACCAACCATTTTTCACAGGACATCTTGTTTCACAAAGCAGCATGCAGTTGCATCCCAGCAATACTGTGGAAACCAATAAAAGAGAGTGAAAGATGTTTTGTAGCAATAATCAAAGTTCTCAACTGATATAAAGTAGCCTTGTTTTAATTAAACTTTTGGAATTTTGAAACTCTTGATCTCAAGAATTATGAGCTCTTGAGACTCTTGACTGTGGAAACCAATAAAAGAGAGTGAAAGAGGTTTTGTAGCAATAATCAAAGTTATCAACTGATACAAAGTAGCCTTGATTTAATTAAACTTTCGGAACTTTGAAACTCTTGATCTCAACGATTTTGAACTCTTGAGACTCTTGATCAGGGAATGGAGCAATACAACGAGGGGTAATGGTTTTAAATTGAAAGAGGGGAGATTTAGTTTAGATACCAGGAAGAAATTGTTTCCTGTGAGGGTGGTGAGGCACTGGCCCAGGTTGCCCAGAGAAGCTGTGGCTGCCCCATCCCTGGAGGGGTTCAAGGCCAGGCTGGATGGGGCTTGGAGCAACCTGGTCTGGTGGGAGGTGTCCCTGCCCAGGGCAGGGGGTTAAGGTCCCTTCCAACCCAAACCATTTTATCATTCTATGATTCTGTGCCTTAGATACCTTCCTCAAAGCTACACACTAAGACCCTTTATTTGCTCTGGACTTGAAGGATTAAAACCAGACTGCTCTCTTGAAGGTAAAGAAATTACTCTTGAAGGAACTACTTTTATGGGAGGGGACTGGCTGGGGTTCCACACATCTCTCACCTGGTAGACTCGTTACTCAAGCTTTGCCAGAAGGAGGAAAGCTGGGTTTCGGTCTTTCTTCAACATGTTCTGGCTTCGCTACGGCCTCTTCTGTTGAAGCTGAGCTGCTGAGCAGGATGGTTTGAGGGATGATGAGAGACTGGAGAGAATTAGCAAGGGGTACCATAAGTCTATAACCTGGTTTTGATAACCCAGCTTTTAAAGCTGCATGGTCTAACTCTCCTTCTGCACATAGAGTAGCAGTGGATTCTTTATTTTTTTAGAAGTATATTGGAAATAAGAATTTAGCTCAGATCTGTGAACTGTCTCACTCTATTTGGAGCAAATCTGAAATAACGAGTCATAATTCAGCAACAGGACAAATGAGAACAGGGATTGACCTCTGTGACTGTTTGGAGAAGAGTGTGCTTTTGACACACATGCTCTGTGTACAGCAAACTTTGTAATGTGAAACTGGAGGAAAAACTAAACATCTGTAATCCCATTGTTGAAGTAAGGTCACAGAGTTCAGGCATGTGTTTGGCACATACGGTGAATAAGAAATAAACTCTGTAGAAGGAAACACTCGTGACACTTGAAAATATTCTCTCTTCATATTCCCTTTTTGTTCCTTCCATTGTTAGTTCCTGGAACTCTAATTCAATGCTGGGCATCAGGCTTGTAGAAGGATTTAAACCTTAGACTTAAACAATCCGTGCTGAAAGTTATTCCTCCTGGGAAAGATGCTGGAGCTCAGCTCCTGGAAGCCCTTTTGGGTTCCTTGTGTGTATCACCTGGAAACACCACCTTGTTTTGTTGCGATCCTTATCCCCAACTGGGACGAGAATCAGAACTCCCTACATTGCATTCTGTTTTTTCACATGCATTTGCACACCTGCACCCTCCATATATGCAGTATAGGACAATAATACCTTAAGGGAAAAAGATCCCTTAGTCAATACCAAAAAAAGACTTTGGAAGTAAATCAGCAAAATTAAATGGCAAAGTTTTTCACAAGTCCTTGAATTCTCTGACTCATATCAAAGCTTTAAATTCAATCCAAGTTTGAATTTCTGCTGTTTTAAGGACTAGATAGG